TCTCTCTCTCTCTCTCTCTCTCTCTCTCTCTCTCTCTCTCTCTCTCTCTCTCTCTCTCTCTCTCTCTGTGTGTGTGTGTGTGTGTGTGTGACACATATGCAGCATCACTGCGCCTGCGCCGTCACTTTCGTGAGTTTGGACGCAGATAGCTGTTGGTGATAAACCCGCCGCCAGGTTGGTTGATGGAATGCGTTATAGAGAGAGGAAGATTATATTCTCAGTCCCGTCCTTGAGTGTCCATCATCTAGCTTACCTGGGACACGTGTGGAGCTGACAATCCACACAGGGCCTCCATCCGCTACACAACACTCTACATCAGAGGTCGCCAACGGGTGGCCGTGACCCGACCCGACCGTACCCAGCCGTAACCGACAGTTTTGGTTGGGTGCGGGTGTGGCAGAAAGGGTGTGGGCTGGTTTGGCTGGGTGTGAAAATGTGTTGGGTGGAATTGGGTGGGTTGGGAAAGTTTCGGGGGGGTATGGCTGGGTGTTGGAAAAGTGTGTGGGCGGGTACGGCCGGGTAGAGGTTTCGCCCGGGTGACCCGAAGTCTGTAGGCCTGTATATTAGGCTAGTATAGGACATGTAGGTTGTATTAGGGTCATGCGACATTATGTATTTGGCCTGCACCCTCCATTTTTTATCCCCAGCCTCCCCAGGTATTCAAGCCTGGTCCTACCAGTAATAGGAATTAGGCCTGGTTGTTTTCTTTTTCCGCTACTCTCGAAATGTGCAAAATAGGCGTGGCCTAGCAACGGGCCTCGCTCCAGTAGTCTCCAAATGTGCTCAATGAGACTGAATCGCCCGCTAGAACATGGATAGATACATTGCCATATTTTTTGTCCGTTGTGTATGTGGAGAGTAAGAACGGCATGCTGGGTGGTAAACTTTGGGCATGGGTACGGTCGGGCACGGGCGGATGAAAATTGCTCGCGGGTGCGAGTGGATTAAATCTAGGGGTGGGTGTGGCTGGGTAGGGGTAAGGGTTCCACTGCAGATTCTGGGTGGGCTGGGTACGGGTACGAAAATGTTTCATTAGCTTGGGTGGGCTGGGTCAGGGTAAAATATTTTTTTTTTACATGGGTGGCACTGGGTGTGGGTAGATATGACATATCAAGGCGTGGACTGGGTCGGATGTGGGTGGGATAAAACACTGGTTTGGCGACCTCTGCTCTACATGCATATGGACGCTCTTTGAGCCGAAATGTTGGACTTGCCGAATGCACCTGCGCAGGAAAGCTTCCAAATGCGTGCCCTCTGCTTTTTCACGTTACTCCTTGCTATGTTGATGTAAGCCTTGGGCACTGGGCCCTTTTGAAATAAAATTCATAGGTTTAAAAAAAAAAAAAAAAAAGAGATGGCGATGTATCTTTCCATGTTCTAACGAAGGATTCAGTCTCATTTTGCACGTTCGAAGAGTACCACCCCAACTCCTCACCGCAGCGCAGACCCGAATCGAAAAAGGCTGAAACGCGCTGCGCACCTGTTCGTCTGCACAGATAAGATACACACAACACAAAAAAAAAAAACAAAAAAAAAAACGCTGAAACGCACTCCGCACCTGTCCGCCTGCACAAGTAACATACACACAATACAAAACCCCGCAGACCCGAATCGAAAAACGCTGAAACGCGCTCCGCACCTGTCCGCCTGCACAAGTAACATCCGTCGATCTCCCAAAAGGATTCAGTCAGTCCGCCTCCGTCGATCTCCCAATGTAACGAACGGTCGGATAACCGATCGACGCCCTATACCCACTTACACCTATTTTTTAGGCCTCGTTGTGCATGACTCTGCACGACAACACATCCGACAACAGCCGTCGGCGACCCACATTGTGAATGCAGCTGGACACCGTACGCAGCCACCGGGCAAAACGCATCCATCTATACGCAGCCATTCCTGGCTGCGAACAGACTCCGTCATCGGCCGTGTGGTTCATTCCCTCCATCCACCCATAGTCGCATCCACTGTGTAGTGCTTAGGTCGTGTGCTATGCATCTGTCTCCAATCGCACCTCGCTCCATTGTTGTTAGCGGGTGGGTGGATACGGGGAGGAGGGTGCCACCGTAGTTGGGATTAGTCGTGTGTGTTTGGGCGGGGCGGGGGAGGGAACGAGAGTCAGGCAAATACGGTTAGTGATAGGGGGGGATTTGTGTGCCAACGTTTTGGGGTATGACTGCCGGTTGGACTCGCAATGCCTCGGCTTCGGAGGAGGGACTACGAGAGAATAGCGGTTGCCGTCATGGCTGCCGCAGGCAAGATGGCGCAGGATGCCTTCGACATAGTTGACTTCATTACTGGGTTCCGCAGTGGCGGTCGGGTGCCTGTGGCCCCTCCGTCACTGGCGAGTCTGGGATGGGCCATGGAAGATGATGACGACGATGGGCCAAGCAATCACAGTCTACTATGGCTTTGGCCTACGATTGTGGACATAACGAAAGTCATTGCCCGTGCGTCCCCTAGGTGGTGGGTGATGCGGCGAAGTGCTGGGTTGTGGAAGGATCTTGTTCCTGATGATGACGCGCAGGACGACCACTACCTGAGTCTTCTACGAATGCGGCGTTCTACATTCAATCGTTTGCTGCGGAAGGTTGGCCCTCTTTTGGAGAGGGAGGTGACCACTACNGAGGGAGGTGACCACTACCTGAGTCTTCTACGAATGCGGCGTTCTACATTCAATCGTTTGCTGCGGAAGGTTGGCCCTCTTTTGGAGAGGGAGGTCACCAGATTCCGTCTCCCTTTGCCACCGGACAAAAAATTGGCATATGCACTCCACAGGTGGGCCCATGGAGACCACCATTTGCACAGTTGCTCTGGTTACGGCCTTGGCAAGACGAGCGGGTTGCGTGCTATAATGGAGGTTGCAGAAGCGATTAATGCCTCCTACCCGAATGCAGTGGGCTTCGGCGGGTACCCTGAGCGTCATGCGAGAATGCAGAAGTTTAAGGCTTTGGGTTTCCCAAATTGTTGGGGCTGCATCAACCGTATGCACGTGTATGTTGACAAGCCTCGGTCCAAGGACGGGGATGAGTACTGCTCCGGAAGGAACAACAGGTTCTCAGTCGTCGCGCAACTGGTGGTTGATGCAGACCTCAAGATTTTGGACTTTTGTTACGGATTTCCGGGTACTGTCGGTGATGCTCGTGTCCTCAAGAACACGTCTTTGTATCGCCGCGCACTGAAGGGCCACCTTTTCTTGGATGATGTCGATGACCCGTTCTTGGTGCAAGGAGACGCCATCCCGGGGGTGCCTGGTGGGTACTTGCTCGGGGATGGTGGGTACCCGAACCTGCCTTGGCTTGTCATTCCATACGGCTGCCAACAAGTTGTCATGCATTCCATGGACGTGTTTGATTCGCTGCACAAGATTGTTCGATCCGCTGTCGAGCGATTTTTCGGCGTTTTCAAAATGCGATTCCAGTTGTTCTACCGGCCTCACGCTGGCGACTGTTGTATTCTACATAACCTACTGTAGGAGTGGGGGGACTTGCCTCAAGAAGAAGGTGATTTGTCGGATGCCTCTCAGACGGACGACCTGCCTGGACCCGTTCCCGATGCGAGCCGGGACGGTTGCCCGTTGGAATTTACGTTCGGACGGGAACGTGGGCAGGCCATGAGGAATGCTTTGTGTACTGAAGTTATTCGTTTGTATGAAATGGAAAACGAGCAGTGACACGTTTTCCATCATCCGGGCCACTGCAGCCTGCCTGTTCGGGGACACTTTCACACCTCCAACTTCTTTGCAGTCTCCATTTTTCAAGGACGGGTTGTGTCTCAAATTCGTCTATTACCAATCACGTTCGTCCACTTTTTTTTCCGGCAGCCGTGGGCGGGGTCGATGGCTGTAGAGATTATGTCTGTGACAAGCAGTTGTTGGTTGAGGAGCTGGAGAGTGCAGAGCGCGAGCTGGAACACATGTACAGGGTTCTGGTGGCGAGAGGGGACACCATCTCTGTTCGAATGCAAAACGGCAGAGCTGTGTGTCAAACAGAGGTCACACAAGATAGTGCCAACGCGCTGAGATGGGCAGCATTCGTTGCGGACAGGGTCCGGTCATCACGCTCTGCCCTGCAGCAGTGCTGCGATCATCTTGTGACACGACACCTTCACATACGGCGGGAATTGCAAAGGTGGAGAAGAATGTGGGAGGATAGCCGCATGCAGCATGATGGTGCCGCTGCAGCTTTGAAAGAAGCTCAGCGAGAGCGGGATGATGCTCGCAGACGGTGTGAGGCAGCAGAATCTGAGGTCGCCGTCGCGCGCAGGCAGGCCGAAGAAGCATGGAGATTGGTTGATGACATTGTGCGCACCGAAACACCAGTCGGGAAGTCGGCGACTGATGACTTTTGTGAAGTGTTCGAGGGTTTATCAGTGAAAGAGAAAGGCAAATCCGTGGACACGGCCCTTCATACAGGAGCTCCTTCTCAATCTGTACCTTCATCTATGTGTCCATCTTGCAAGGATTTGAGCGGGCGTCTCGCACACATGGAGAGTGAGTTAGTGAAGCTGGAGATGACAAACGAAATGCTCCAGTGGCCCGCATCTGTGTGGGAAGAGATGGATAACGATTTGAAAAATTTCACCATCCCTCGAAAGTTCGACCCTCTGCCTGGATCGTTTTCATCAGCCACTGAGTTCGGTGACAGGTTTACCGAGTAAATACAGGGAACGATAACGGGGGGAGAGAGAGAGAGAGAGAGAGAGAGAGAGAGAGAGAGAGAGAGAGAGAGAGAGAGAGAGAGAGAGAGAGAGAGAGAGAGAGAGAGAAGGACGTCTGCAGCTGCTGGTGCTGAGGGCAATGTTCGACATTTTTTATATGCTCACAAAGCAGCTTTGGCTGCAGAACTTGTGATTTTTCGTGGAATGCATAACATACAACGGGTTATGATTGGATAGATAGTCATTCTCGGCAATGCTGAGTGCTTCGATTTATGTGTGTGTGTGTGTGTGTGTGTGTGTGTGTGTGTGTGTGTGTGTGTGTGTGTGTGTGTGTGTG